AGGGGCGAGGCAGATGGAGATCAATAGTCTGGGGAGGTGTGTGAGATGGGATTTGAGGAAAGGAAGGGATTTGTAGAATGTGGGAGGAGGCGATCAGGACAAAATGGATTTGCCGATGAAGATCAGGAAATCAGGACATAGTAGGAAAATGGATTTGAGGTAGGCCCTCACAGAAGGGACAGTTGAATCTCACAGAAATAAGTGAAGTTTCTGAAGCCAAGGAAGGGAGTAAACCAAGCAGAGTATAAGCTATAATTTTAGGAATTACTCAAGTTTCATTGGAGTGTTGGCTTGAAAGTATTACATGACCTCTGACCTTTGAGAATTTCAGCCAGGACAGGTGGGTTGAGTTTTGCAGAGTTAAATGGAACCCTCACTTCTATGAGTCCCATGTAAATGTAGCATGGCCAGGTAAATGTAGTCACCAGAAAGATCACCGGGTGCTCTTGCTTACCCACGGACTCATTTGTTTACTTGTGGCCTTTGTTTATTTTCCTGTCCGGGGAGATTTTTCATTTCCCAGTTACACGTCTTGATGGTTGAAATGCAGGGCATGCCTCGCAGCTGAGAGTTCCTGTGCGCGGCGCCAGGTCTGCTTTACATTCACGCAGACTAACAGGCTAATGATGGCTTTTCCCTGGGTGTTTACAGAATCGTTTCTTGGTTTGTATCTCTGTGGCATTTCCAAAAGAGAGGAGTTATTTACATGTTGCTGCTTAACATTTTCAAAGGTGTTTGTTTGTTTGTTTGTTTTCTTTTTCTTTTTGCTCTAAGAATGGTCCAGAAGATGGTAAAGAAGTTTAGCGGAAGAGTGCCTGCCACTAAATGGTCCTTTGTTCAGTCTTATGAAAATGTTTCTATGTTGCAGCATGTGAGATTGAATATTTCATTAGAAAACAGTAAGGGAGTTATTTTAAAGGCAGATTTTAAGGAACCTTCATCATTAATATATTATGCATGCTGAAAACCCAATTGGGGAGAGAGTATGGACTTGTACTGGGAAATGATCCCCTGCTTTGCTTCCCATCTTGTTGGCATGGTGAAATATTTAAGTGGATCTGCTGTGGGAGATAAGACCTTGATGTAATGATGGAAATACTGTGTTGGCCATGAGTTCTTACATTTTACGGCTGTCTGCATTAAACAGTCATAATGACTCAGCAGTAGACTATTTGAAATGACATTGTTCGTGTTTTATTTTTTTTTCATTGCACAGATTGAGGTGTTTATTTATTACTGAAGTCTAATGTCTTTGTCATATAAGTTGCTAGAAAAGCCTAAGACGGTTACTATTGTCTCTTGGTTCAGTCAAATTTGTTTCCTTGTAAAAATACCAAAATGCAGTGGCCTAGTGACAGTATAATATATGTGTGTTTGTTGGCTATTATGAGAAAAACTGGTCCTTTTATTTGAATATAACTGTGAAGTTCTCCCAGGATTGGCATGCTTTTGAATTGTTTGGTTAATTTTAGGGGAGGTTGGGCAGGAAGGTGAGGAGTGAGGATGAGGGACTATACATAGGAATTTTCCTGAGACTAACAAGCCTGTTACGGCCCCATCGTGTCTCTGATAGAATCACAGATGGAATCCAGCCTGGGGTAGAATCCTTGGGGGGAATTAGAGCTGAGTGCTGATATTATGGAATAGCTATTAGAGACAACTCTTTGTTTTACTCATCAAGGAAACTGAGATCCAGAGAATGGAAGTGATTTATCATTGATCACATCGCTAGTTAGATGTTGCACTAGAATTAATACTTGAGTTTCTTGATTCCTAGCCCAGAACTTTCTTCAATATATCTCCTATGCAGTTATGATAAATTTCCTTTAGATGACATTTAGTAGATTTTTGCAATGAATAATGGTTAAAGCTCTCCCCCGCCCCCTCCCACACCTGATGGGTAATAGATTGAAAGCATAATTAAGCATTTCTAAATTTCTATGAGATTATCTTTGAAACAGTCTTTGGGATCATGAAATCATTATTTCATTTGTAACACTCCTGACAGAAGAGAGGTGTTGAATAGCCACACTCTGCATGTGGCAAATTGTTACAGAATAAACTGGAATCTTTTACATCCTGTGTTCCAGTTCATTGACAGGGGGAGTCTGACTTTTGGATGTCTTGAACTTAGTTGTTTAATTTATAATCTGAATTCCCCATTCTCACCCCCTCAAATCTCAGATGAAGAGACTTACTTACTTGGTAAGTACTTACAGAGTACTTACCAAGGTACTCTGAGCTTAGGGGAAAGTGGATCCTAGAATTCTTAGAGTAACAGGATTAAGCAAGCTCCCTGCTTTGATTCCACTTGGACACTAGGTGGAAGTCCTTAGGAGATAAGGAGAAGCAGAAGACCTAATGGGCATGAAAAATATTGAGAAAATAGCTGGATGCTTTCTCAAAGAGAAGAAATAGAACCATAAGTTCAGAGACATATTCTCATGATGCATTTCTTATTTATCTACTTTGATGCTTCTGAAAGGTTCACTTGCATTGTAATTTGTTGAAAGTGAGTGTTCTTTGCACTACCAGGAATGGAAGGCTTCTAACATCATCTGCAATTACCAAGTCTTTGTATCTCTAATAAGCACTTAGTCACTGGTTGAAATGCACATGCCATGCAATCCTGTAATCTTTTTATTAGAGTGTTGAATGTCCATTTGAGTAAAATTTCTGGAATGAAATTAAATATAATAAACGTTATTAATGGCACTATGATTCTGTTACTGTTGCTGCTGCTATCACTCTTTCTACCATACCACTACTTATACCACAGCTATCACTACTGCTGTGACACCTAGCACCACTGGCATGAAGAGGAAAGCAGAAGAGAGGAGTACATATCCTGTGTAAGACATTGCACAGAAATCATATCACAGTTGAGTCCTTATAGCACAATTATGTCCACTTTGCAAATGAAGTTTCCTGTGGTTAAGTTTCTTGCAAAGTCCTGAGGCTAGCTGAGAGCGTAGGCTCCTCAGTTCACACCTTTAACCACTTTGAGCCACCAGGGCATGTACCGGAGCATATTGCCCAGCCCTGGAGGGGGTGTGATCAGTCAGTCTTCTGTTTGAAATCATTATATGCATTATTTAGATTAGTGCAGCAAAAAACATTTAAAACGGTAGACATAGGCTCCACATTTCTAGAAGTTAACGTACTTTAGTTGACTCACGCAAAATTTTCAAATAATTCCTATGAGAAGGAAATATTTAAACGTAATTGATGATTAGCATGGGGGAAACAGAAGTCTGCAAGTCTCTAGGAAAATAACAACAATGAGTAGGTCCAATAAGGGTTCTTATTAAGTTCTTTAACTCTCAGGTGCTGAAGGATTCTACAGAGATATGTCACATCATGACTTATAACAAGTTATTACATTATTTTCAGCTGAGAAAATGGTATCATGAATTATTTAAAACCACCCCAGAACTGTAGCTAGTATAGTTTCTCACAGAATGACAAATCATACTGTCATCTGTACACACATCTTTGTGACTAATGTTTAAGTTTTCTATATTAATTTTAAATAATTGAGTTCGTATTATGATTTCCACTGATATAAAAATCACCAAGAAGCATGTTATTTCATAATTTAATATGAAATCTTGATACACTATCTAACAAGTAAATCACTTTTCTTTTTCCATGTACTACGTAATCTTTATTTTATGACATTATAACATTAGCTCTGCATCTGGCTCCAGAATGTTGCTAATTAGGTTTCCTTACAAGTATGATTCAAACGCTATGTTTGAATTTCTGCTTTTTTGATTTTAGAAAAACTTGCCATGATCTAGTAACATCAATGGGTTTCCCTCTTCACCTAGTTTGTTCATTATTTTAATTAGCATTTTGGTAAGTTCCTTATCCTAATTTTCCTATTCCTCTCTTCTACCACCTGTAATAAAATAGTGACAATTAGAAGGAGTTGTTGAAAGAAAAACAGCTTGGTATTCAGATTAAAGTCAAAACAAATTTCAGAAATGAACGTGACTAAGTGAATAAAACTAAGTGTCACATAAACTACTACTAGTCAGTTTGGTTTCCATAAATGCTACTATCACATGTCTTACCTGTGGGGGGTGGATTGCTACCTGTTTTCATACTAAGGTTCAAGGGAAAATATCATTACTTGTCAGTGTTTCCATGGCCTGATGGCAACAATTACTCTGTGTATTTTCTTGACCAGAAAAAGAAACTAGAGAATGTTAAAGGGAAGTAGTTGTGTGTTTTATCTCATTATTATTGCCTACTATATAATTGGTATGATGAAGACAAAATGATGCTGGAAATCTTAATAATAAAATTATCATCATTAAGTAGAGTTGGCCAATGACCAACAAACTTGAAGAAGACAGATCTGGATTTATGACACTGTCACATTGGATGAGTCTTTGCATCTCCTTAAGTCAGTTATTTTTTCTGGAAAAAAAAAATCAGTGTTTTTTAAAAATGATCTCCATAGTTAATTTCTGCCCTGCATGTCCCCTGACTTGTGTTTGCTGGGAGAGATTGCTGGGAGAGAATCTTCTTTACCTAGTCTCTTCAAAAAAATGGTGTTAACTAAAAGGTAACAACATTGGATTTGTCACCAGTGCCCTGGTCTTCGAGGAACACAGGGATGGTTACCTGCTGTTCTATTTTATTCATCTTTGTTTTGTCACAGATGGGATGCTATCCCATGCAGTAGGTTTTGGTGGTGGGGGGGGCTATTTCGAGGGGGCCACACAGGGCACTGCCTATGACACCCACGCTTCCCTGCGAGCCTTGGGAAGGTCTCGCCTTCAGAGGTAGTTGTTGACAGTCTGTGTGCTCACCTCACAAAGTCATGGTTAAATTTCTTTTGAAATTAAAAACAACACCAACACTGTTAACACCTTTTGATGTGTTTGAATCAAATCTGTTTAATTAAACCAAATAAAGTGAATAGCAATGTTGTGGTTTTCAGAAACAGAAGATTCTTATCTTTCCATTTCATTTATTTTTGGTTGCAGGACTTCAGATGGTGGCAAAGTTGTTGGCACCATAGAAGTCAGTGTCGTGAAGATGGGGGAGATTGAGGATGGGGAAGCCGACCACATCACAACAGATGTGCAGGGACAAAAGGTAGGGCTTCAGCCAGCTCACTGCACAGATTAAATTAGAAATGATCGGCTTTGCCAGATGCCCGAGCCACCGACACCTCTGTGGGGTATGAAGTCTCATTATTCACAAGCTAAGTGTGAAGCCAGCTTTGGTGTTGGAGTGCCGCAAGCGTGCAGCGTCCTGGGGCTAGGGGGGCACTGGCAAACAACGAAGCACCATTCAGAACCACCTTCCTCCTTCCTCTGGCTCCTGCGCTGACCTGCCTCCTCTCTGTTTGAACCAAAGCCTCGATCACTTGCATCCTGCCAAAGCGAGATGCTCAGAAGTTTCTGGAAGGGCTATTGTATAAAGTAAACACTTCTCCACTCTCAGAACCCTCTTTGGGAAGAGATGCTATTTGAATTTGGATTTCCTCTTACGTGAAGGAGGGCATCTTATGTGCCTTGTGCAATGGCAGAGAGAGGGGAGATGAGGCTGGAGACGAGGCTGCGTCCTCGGAGCTCTGCAGAAAGACCCCAGTGTGTCTCTGTGTGTACCCGGGAGTTTTACTTCCGTTTTCAAAGAGAAACTTCCTATTAGTCTCATTTCCTGTCTCAGTAATGCCTTTGCCTATGTCATGGAGGCACGAGGCAAAGCCCTCAAAACTGCCTGCAGTTTTCTTCTGGAAAATGAGTTTCCCATATGAGCATTTGCCTCTGGTGACTTGTTTCTGACGCAGCGACCCTTGTCTGGGAACATGTCTCAGTTTCGGTACTTAGGCAACATCTACATGAGAGATGGTGTTTATCACGCACTTAACAGAAAATGCTTTATCCAAGAATCTGCCTGCCTTTTAAACACACGCTGTTCCTGCCCAGAATTGGGGGGAGTCTTTTCTGCTGCCCCAAGCCTGATCCTCTTCTGCTCCCTTCCTGCCTTTCTGGGAAGTTAGTGATGGATTGAAGCCTCTGAAGAGAAGGTCACTGAAATGGAGGTTGTCCTTACAATCACACACCTCTGTCTGGCTCCATCATGGGGAGAAAGAAATGGAACTGCTCTTAGCACTCAGGCCTGGCCTGTGAGGGATGTGCCTTCCCACGCATGTGTATGAAAGTCGATAGAAGGTGGCAGAAGACAGGTACCTGGAGGAATCAGCTGCAGCTGCCATAACAAAATACCAACTTAAACCACAAACATTTGTTCTCTCACAGTTCTGGAATGTGAGTGAGTCCCAGACCCAGGTGCCAGACGGCACATTCCTGCAGACGCGCCTCTGTCCTCAAGTCACCTTCCTTCCACTCACAACTACGGAGAGGAGCCAAGCAGCGCTGGTATCGCTGCCTCTTCTCGTAGGGAAACCAGCCCTCAGGACTCTGAGCTACCCTGTGACCTCATTTCACCCTCCTTACCTCCAGGAGAGTCCCGTCTCCACACAGACACACTGGGGGTTGGGGCCTCAACATGGAAATTCAAAGGAACACAATTCAGTTCATTACAGGGCCCCTGATATAAAATACTACTTTTGAATCTTGAATCCCATGGAACCTCCAGAGGATGGAATATGTAAATGAAACTCCAGACTCTTTCCTCTCATATACACTTGCTTAATTGTTTCCTCAAATCCTATTATTTTCATCAAGAGAAGATTGTTCAGTGGGTCACTTACCATATTAGACTTTCATTAAACTTTTATGCATACACACCTAGGAACAGAAGACGACGTATTAAAAAACATACTGAAGCAGAAAGAACAATTCACAAAAGAAATGCTAACATCATCCTTTTACAAAGCTGGCATTTTAGGTGGAATATTATATTTGCTATCTGTGCCCCCCCCCAATTATTTATTTATTTTTTGGATCTGGGACTCACCTTTGACTCATAGTCAATAGGTCAGCAAATCCTGTTGATTCTGCTTTTTCCATCAATCTAGAAGCCAAGGTCATCACCTGGATTTTTACCTCTGTCTCCTGATTCCCTCCTGCTTGCTCCCCCTCCCCCTGCCATCAAGGTCTATTCTCAGCAGAGCAATTATGAAAATTTAGCTCAGAACATGTCACTTCTCCAGTGGCTTCTCAGCTTCCTGCAGGTGTTAACTTCTCAGGAGTGACCTCACTTAGCGTCTCAGTGGCGTTGGCCACTTTCTTCATCTCCTCCTCCACTCCTCATTCTTACTCACCTCCATCTGCCACATTGTCTTCCCTGCTATTCTGTGAACGGTGCAGGTACATTTCCAACTCAGGACCAGGTACTTCATGATTCACTTTCCCTTTCAGGCATTTCCCCAGGTAACTGTGTGTGCTCCCCCCTTTGCCATTCCCTCCCCCCTTGTCTATTTCCCCTCTTCTTTATCTCTCCAATGTCTAGAACAGAACTTAACATGGGGAAAAATTAATAAATGAAGTCAATTTTACTTCGAAGAAATAAAATCTGAGACTGCCTCTTCAGAAGGAAATGTTTGCATAAAATGCCATACCAGCTGGTCAGTCAGTGTATGTAAACTGGAATAAAGGTGTGAAAAAGAGTGTAGGATTATGAAAGAGGGTGATGCTAAAAAGAAAAACAAGAAAACCTTTGAGCAGTCAAGAAAAATGATACTGGAGACAGAAAGAGGAAGCAAATCATCAAATCAGGTGAAAGGCGAGAAAACCAGATGAGGCAGAAAATGGCGGCAGGACACACCTCTGGGCCCAGTGACTTGGCCTCTGTCAGGGCCTCAGTGGCTGAGTGTCCCAGGGAGGCTCTGCTGAGCAGGGTTCTGCTCTGCTGCTGCCTGGCCTTGTCTTTGTGAAATGTGCACGTTACATTAGGATGCGGCCCAGCCCTGGTGCCCACAGTGGCCATGGGTTCTACAAAGGAAGGACAATGCCTCCCTCACCATGAGCTACAGAGCTGTGACAATGTCCTGGTGTGGATGAAGCAGCGATACTCCTCCCACTCTCACCACCCTGTGTTTCCATGACCTACGCCCTTCTTGGTTTGCTTTGGCCCCATTCTTTGAAGTGGTGATTTAAGATGTGGTCGCAGACAAGAGGGTATCTTTGGGTTGTGAAGGCCCTTCTCTGAAATTTCTGTTTCCTTATTTGCCCCAGATAGACCATGGAAAGTGGTATGACTGGCCTTCCTTACTGTATAGGGTATTCACAGGTGTGGAATGTTTTTCATTCATTGATCAAACAATACTGTCTTCTGTGTTCCAGGTTTTTCTACGGAGTTCTATGTATTGAGCAATAAATCAAATAGACACAAATGCTGCCTCCAGGGGAAGAAAACAATTTAAAAAAAAAAAGAGAAAACAGCATATTGTAGATCAGATGGTGCTATATGCTATAGGAAATATAAGGCAAAGTGAAAAATAAGGAATGTTGGACGGTGGTCATTTTATGCTGAAAGGTCAATGATAGAGTTACTGGTAAAGTGATATTTGAACTAAAATGTGAAGGATATAATCAAATGAGATATGTGCTATCTGAGAGGAACACAGACTCTAGGATGAGTGAAGAGCAAGAGCAAAGGATTGGTTGATATTCAAAATCAAGTTCTAAGAATCTTATCTATCCTATATTTCTTCTTCTTGACTATCTATACCATCAAATGATATTTTCAAAGGATTCCTTAAACTCTGTAGGCTTATGGAGCTCTGTGTCACAAAAAGCATGTGATACTTGTTATTCCTGCTTACAAGCACAGATGTGAAATCATCACATTGAAAGCACCCACCACATAGGTATGTAACTAAGGCTGCTGATTTCAATCATAATGGCAGCAATGAAGAGATTATATAGTCGATTTAGTTTGAGCCTCCTTAAGCACAGCTTCCATATCATTTTAATCTCTGTAGCATCTCGCATAGTATAAAATGATTCTAGGTTCAATTGTTAAAATAGTTCAATAAAATAAGCTAAAGAATTAAGTAATATGTTTCTTAGCATCAAAAAGAATTTAAATAGTCACAGAAGCTACACCCAGATACAGTTCAAGAAAATAATACAGTTCAAATGTGAAAATATTAATTAATTTAGTGAATGTTTACTATTGTTTGTTTATGTGCTGGGGATTTAAACCTTGAGAGCATTCTGAATACTAGCACTTTAAAATACAATACAATTGTAAAATAATAATCAGGTTGAAATTGTCCTAAATGTCTGCCTTCCAGTGTGGATGGAAGATAGGAATATATGAATGTTGTATTTGCGTATCCATTTGGGGAAATGATACAGGTTACTGTTGGGAAATGTAAAGTCATTTTGATAATAAAGAGGTAGGGCTACCTCCACTTAAGGAGGCAGTTTCCCAGGAGAGTAGCCTAATCTCAATGAGTTACAACTACTTCACCAAATGATTTCAATCTAAAATCATCCCTATAAGTTATACTGTAGTAGAAAATCCTCTTTAGGAAGGAAATGGCCACTGCTATGTACCTAGTTATTATGTGAAGGGGTGTCAGTGACAAATGATGAAAGGGCTGGAAGACCCGTCTGAGAATACCAAATTTGAGTGGGCAAGAAATTACCATTCTATATTCTAGAGCAGAATACTGATCCGATGACTATAATGTTTATGAAAGATTATTTTAACAGCCCTATGTAGACTGAAAAGAGTAAAGAAAATATTGCAAATAGGAGAAATAAATAATTTTAAGTATTTCTAAGCATCATTACACATGGCTCTAGTGATTTGAGTACTGCTTCTGAAAGAGTAGTGGATTGAGAAGGGATCACCTCTGACTCAGGAAAATAACTTAGAGAACATTGAATTTTAAGAGTTCTTTGTAGTTACTATTTCAGTAGACTAGTACTTCAACACCTGTGAAAGCATGTTTTCCATTCGAGAAATTTCCTGAGTAATATGATGCATATTATGATAAAAAAAAAAAGGAGTGGACTTTAGAATAGAGAAAGTATCATCTAAATCAATATTTTCAATTATTTGTCTTCCTTCTCAAAATCCCTGAGGGTCATGTAGATTCCATCATTCACTGTGACCTCACTGGCCATGATTCTCAAAGTGGTTCATGCCTAGGGTGGAAGGGTGGAGGGGAGACAGAGAACCGGGACATTCAGGAACTAGCCCATACAATTCTGATGGCCCCTCCTGCTGGTCTGACCCCACCCCCACACTCACCCCCCAGGCTCAGGGGCATTTGTGAGCTGTTTCCCATAGAATTCCTCAACTGAAGAATGTTCTGACATTTTCTGTTTGTTTTGTTTTTATTTGCAATTATTTGATTATATTTGATGTATTTGCTCTGAAAATCCACTCTCTTCCTTCACCAGACCCCTGTCCATTTCCCGTTCATTTATTCACTCATTTGTTTATTTATTTGTTAAGGATGGAAGGAAATTTTTTGAAGAGACAGATGTTGGCCTCTGTCTGTGTGAAAACAAATCCCTTGTCAATTCCCCGTGGGCCAGGAGAGCTTTGCTTCCTCTGTTAGTTTTATAGGAAGTTGAGGGAGAGTCCCATGCTCCTGCAGATTGTCTGGGTTCACTCTCCCACGCACAGCTCACTCAGTAGGAACTGAGGATGGTGACATCCTCTTCTGCATCTCTTCATTCTGTCTGTCCAGAGAAGTGTTGGTTCTATAAAGGTTTATGAAATTAATCTGTTATTAACCATGTATGAGTAGATTCATGGCCTCTGGGACAGCTTATTTATAAATTGCTGAAGCAATCCAGCAATTGATAAGTTGGAGATCAGCTTATTTACAAATGGTCCCTTGCATTGTTTGGCTGGGGATAATAAAATCACATTGCCCTGTGTAATTAGATGCTGCAACATATTCTATCTTTTATTTAAAGTTATCTTTACTAAAAATCTAGAAAGAACTCTGCTTTTTATTGATCCAAAATCATCTCAGATGAAAAAATAGACCATTCACCTTGTCAAGGGTAGGTTTCTATATCAGGGCCCTGTTGCAGGCATGTTGAGGATAATCTTTTCCTACTTTTTCCTTTCTTTCCTAAGCAGTCTTTAACTGGAGTTGAAAGGTATAATTACATAATGCAATCATACCTTATATAAATGTAGTAAATAATCACAAGTTAAACAAGCTATATAGTAAAGGTAAAGCTGAAAATCGTGTATACAAAAATGTTTTATTCAGAACTTTTTGAAGCCATATGTACAGTCTTGCAAATAAAAGAGCTTAGTTCTTATTTTGAGTCTTTTCTTTTTTTTAATTGAGGTAATATTCAAATATGCTTTATTTCATTCTTTCCTAGTGTTCCCTAGTATGTGAATGCACAGCCCCCGAGAGTGTGAGTGGAAAAGATAACTTACCTTTTTTGAACTCAGGTATGTACCTCAATTTGGAAACTTACTTGTCCTGTGCCTGATATTCACTGGATCATAAACTTTATGAGATTCAACATTCATTTATGAGAAACATGCTCAAAAATGGGGATGCATAGAACATATCTCAAAATAGTAAAGGCCTTATATGACAAACCCACAGCTAACATCATTCTCAATGGTGAAAAACTGAAAACTTCTCCACTAAGATCTGGTACAAGTCAAGGATGTCCACTTTTACCACTTCTATCCAACAGAGAAAATAGAAAAGGAATCCACACTGGGAGAGAAGAAGTAGAACTAGCTCTATGTGCAGATGACATGACAATAGACATAGAAAACCTGAAAGACTTCACTGACAATGTAATTGAAGCAATAAATGAGTTCAGCAAAGTGGCAAGTTATAAAATCAATTGATAAAAATCTGTTACATTCCTATATGAACAAATTTTCATTTCCTGTGTACTCAATACTGAATCTGGGCAGCATTCTCAGAGTCAGTTATGAATACTTAGAAGACCAAGTGGCAATTGTGAGTTGGCAGCAGTGGGTACAAGCTTGACAGTTCCATAAGAAATACCTTAGCTCTGTGGCAAAACAAATAGACTCTATTCTAGCTGTTAGACATGGTTATCTGAAACAAGCATATTGGAAGATAGCACTTAATTAGCTCAATATTCTATTATAGAACTCCCAAAATCAAGGTGTTAGGGTAATAGGTATATATGGATTCAGTAGAATAAATTCAAACTTGCCTTTGTATCTTCCTGAGTGTCTGTGCGTATACTGGGTCACTCATAGGCATATATTTTAATTTCATCAAGGCACCAAACAACGTCTTACATGATGACCTTGTGACTAAAGTTGAGACGTGGGTACAGTTAAAATATATAAATGATGCAACTAACTTTTGAATGATAATGCAAACTATCAGCCATTAATACTAATAATAAGTAAATAATGACCGCTTTCCTGACAGGCAATATGCCAGATACCTTACCTGCCTTGTTTTACCAAATCCTCTGACATTTGTTATGCAAAAGATTCTGTCATTGTCTCCATTTTATAGAAGAGCAAATTGCTCAAGGTCACCTACTATAGCAAGTCACAGAGTAAAGTCCAGAATTTAAATCCAGTTTTGGTCCTAAGTCCTTTACTCTTAGTTACTAAGCTGTGCTATTACTGAATAGTCATTAATTAACAAATTGGTGTTAACAATAGCATATGCCTTAGTATTTTTTCTAGCTCTGACATAGATAGTATAATAATCAGATTAATGACTTCAAAAACTTACTAACTCATAATCCCAAAAGTATTAGTAGATTTTCCCTGCAGAAAGCCACTGATAAAAGGAATGGAGAAAGGAAAGACAGTCCATTGTGTTAATATGTACAGATGTAACAACAAGACACCCGCTGATACTGAAAGAAGATGATAGCAAAGAGGAGCAGCTCTGTTTCTGTCTATGCCAGTGACATAGACAGATGTCAAATGACAGTCTGTTCTTATTTTATGCAGGCTGTAATATTGGATGTAGTGTGCATTACATAGTCAATCATGTATCATAAAAGCACCTGATAAGTTATTCATGTGGTTAAAATATCTAAAGTATGCTCACAAGGTTGTCTCAAATTTTCCATTAAGAAAAAAAAAACAGTTGTCAAACTTTTAGTTCTTTAATGTATTCTATTTAAGTAAATTAAATAGATTATCTTAAAACTTAATTTTGAGAAATAAAATTGAGGGACACGACACTCATGTTAAATACAGTTTGAATAAATCAGGTGATCTCCCAATCATTTATACTGTAATTACAAGATAATCTTCAGTGACTCACTGTGAACCCTGTAGGTTTTTATGCTCACGAAATCAAATGCCATTTTAAGTGCTGATTGGTTTAATGTACATTTCAAATAGAAAGGGAAAAATTCTTCCCTTTGGAAAATATTCCAAGGAAAGAAAAGGCAGAGGGAACATAATGAAAAATAAATCTGCACCTCCTAGTATCTGGGCCATAAAATCTGTCAGTCCTGAGTTTTGAATATGTGCTAACTCTTCCGGATCACGAGGGTGCCGTGCTATCCCTGGTGTGTAACTTGCCCTCTGACAAAGGCAACTGGCATGGGATTGATGGAAGCAACTCTTTCCGCAATTTAAATACCCTTACTTACTGGAGCGAAAGGTAACTGGTGATTGTTTTTCTTCTTTCATGGAGGTGACAGTTTGATGATGATACTCCACTTATTTCCAAAGATCTTTTTTAGTGTTCTTAGTCCAGACACTCAGAAGCTGGGATATTTGCCACAAATATTTTCTTTGAACATTCTTTCTTTTTTTTTTTTTAAGATAGATTTATTTATGCATACAAGTGCTGGGGTACAGACCAGAGATGTGGGGGGCGTGAGGATTCACCAGAGACAGAGCGGAGAACAGAACAGGCAGATTGACTGAAGTACACTGCTGAGGGGAGCAGCGGGAGAGACAGGAGATGTCTGCTGTGCCATGGGGGTAGCTCTCTGGCTGGGGATCAAATTCGTACTGCAGAGGCTGCATGCAGCTCCATAGGTTGTGTCTTAATCCCTTGCGCCACCAGGGAGGCCCTGAACATTCTTATATTAGGGGAAAATAAGACTAAATGAGAGTCAAATGTTATAAAGTCTTGACAAAAAGCTTGTTTACAGCTATATGAAATGTTCCTGTTTAAAATACAAAACTGCCTTTTGTAGGTGGAGCTATTATGTATGATATAGTCCACGTGTACTATGTCTTCTATTTATATATCTATCTATCTAAACTCAGCAACTCTGCAATGAATCCATTATATTCTTGCATGGGTTTTTTTTTTTTTTTTTCAATCTGTAGGCCAAAAGGGTGCTATTGAGATCCTCTGAAGTCTTTGTACTTATGTATTAGACGGAACTCGCCAGCTCAAGTGAGTTATGCAGTACTTACTGAGTGAGGAAGAGAATGTCAGATCTCACACCAGCTCTTCACTCTTCTATTTATATCTCGAGGTTGCATTTATAATTCAGGAAATTCACTTATCTATTGTAAGACTAAAAAGAAAAGTGCTTTCCTCTAAGGTCTCACCTTTTTCTTGCCCTCTTCATCTTGCACATCGAGTGTACATGTTGAGAATTGAGGACAGCATAGAAAGAATGAGGAGTTACAATTACACAGGATAGAGAAGTAGCTTACATCTGTGGGAAAACAAATTCCTTTCAGCTGTTGGATTTTATAGTCTCTGAAACAGGGCACACTAGGAGATACAGTATATCTTACAAATATGAAGGTCTTATGTAATTTGAGTTTCTAAGTTTGTAACTCATAGAATAAAGTTTTTAAAACAGTATAGATTTACCTCTTCCATTGTTTGCTTATGCATTTAAGCAAAATGGCTGTCAGGAAAGTATTTGTTACTGAAGAGGTTGGAGTAAGAAATCTATTGGGTTGTCAGAAAAGTCATAACATTTTTTTTCTGTTTTTCAAGCAAAAATGTGTCATGGGCTTTCCAAGAACCTGATAATTTTGAGCACAGAGCAGTGCAGAGGGTCAGGATGGCCTGTGTCCTGCTTAGGTGCAGCCGCTGGGCACCTTGTCCATAGCGGGATGGTAAAAGGCTTTTGTGCCATTATTACAAGATCACAGGACAAGCTGTCAGAAGAACTGGGGTCATCTCTGAGATATGCCAGCAGGTGACCCTCAAACAGGGGCAGCCTCTCTGGACGCTATTTCTTTTAAATGATGAAATTGGCGTGGATGATCTTTAACTTCATTTTTAGTGCTCAAAGGTTTAAAGTTGAGAGATAGCAATATTATTTAGCTTTTGCTCTTTTCCATTCTTTTAATGAAATATTTCATAGAAGTGTTCATTTCGATCCATTTCACACAGAGTCACATATCATCTCATTGTTGACAGTAGTCTTCCTCAGACCTATTTATCTTTAATATAAATAAGGCCCCAGCCATGATAGCCCTTTTAAAAGTTTTGTCAGGAAGACAGTTCTCTCTGGATGCTGTAATTCTCTCCTTCTTCCTTGTAAAAGCATAAAGCTGCAAACTACTTCTGCTCATGAACCTTTATATCATCTGCCACTTCTGAAGAGCTAATAGCCCCTCTCACAGTTTCCTATTATCTGCAGATTTTGAGTGCATTTCCCCTGTCAGCAAGCATTAGATCTGATGCAGCATCTTCCTTGGTTGAGTTCCATACGTTTTGAGTCATGAAATTACTCTTTATATTCCTTAAATACCACTCCCATGCTGTGCATTAACACATGTACTTGTCCTTCACATTCACAGAGGGCTTATCCGGCAGCTTTAATATCCTTAAGTTGGACTTAGCTAAAGATGAGGGGCTTCCTCGCTGCCATCAGCCCCCCTCCTACGTGGAGAATTCACTGGTGTTTGTACTTCTTGCTCACAAGATAACCCACTTTGTCTCAAAATAGGTCAGCAGAGGTCACTATATATCTTCGATCTTTTCCCCGGGATTGGGTCAAGCCATCTACAATCACGTGTCATTTAACAATGGGCGTGCATTCTGGAAAAATGCCTGGTTGGGCAGTTCAGTTGTGTGAAAGCACGTTAGCAGCAGGTTTTGTGTGCTTCAGGGGTGTGATGAGCAAAACAACAGAAGATGAAAGCAAGCACAGGGAACGCGGTGCTCACAAGAGACTTGGGAAACATGGGATGCCCTAAGTTGTGACCCAAGTAAAATATTGACATCAAGATGGCCACGTCACTGGGCCACAGGGATTGTAGCGCCATCATTGTCTTGTCCATCAGCTTGCCCGTGGTCAGCCCTGACCCAACCAGCATAATGTCCCCTTGGCCACTACCATTGTTTGCAAAAGAAGCCAGATGATGAGCTATTTAAGAAGGACCATTGCTTGTTTATTTCCATATATCCAGGGCCAGGATACAATAAGAACTCAATAAATGCCTATCAAGTCACTGATAATGGATGTGTGTATTGTATTATATTATTTATATATACTTCA